GAATGGGGGGGGGGGAGGAAATCAGTGCCTGTTACTTTCTGCTTTAAATGCAGAAGACTATGGCAATTTTTTGTTCATAACTTTGTCCATAACTGGGTAGGGAAGTTCCATGATTAGGAATTACTAGTCCTGGAAGGAATTTTTAGCAGTGTATTATGAAATAGGTTCCTGTCTTTAGAGTTTAGGGTAGAAGGGAACAAGTATGGCTTGCTGTTGTAAGTTTTGTTGTAATGCTTTGGTTTGATCTGTGTTAAATAAGGTCTCGGTACATAAAACCAAACCCCATAGAGGTATCTCATCATTTCAGGTAATGCACCCACTTGTAAAAACAACTGACCTTGAGTTGGAAAATATCAGCAAAATGCAGTGCCTTTTCACATTCCTTACTGATGTGAAGGATATGTCAATAATTCTGTATAGATAGAGTTTTTATCCATAGATGTGAGTGTAGATGATCTCCATAAATGTGGGTGATGACTGTGAAATGTCTTGGATTAGACTTTTCTTTCTTTAAAAATACCTGATTTAATTTCTACCCTGTTACTCAGAGTAGTGCATTAAAACAACTCTCTGTAAAAGTTAAGTTTGCTGCAAGAATAGGGTTTTCCTCAAATAAACCAGCCCCCTTACTCAGGGCCTCATTTTATAGCATGTAGCCTGTATAGGGAAGAAAAAGAAAACAGTGCTTCTCATACATGGCAGAAACAGCCCTACCAGCAGTAAACAAACAGTGAAAATTACCCAAACACTGTCAAGACTGTTGCAAGTCTCACAATAACTGCTTTAAGAGACCTTTGACTGAATGGCTCATTGGATCTGAAATGGGCTAAATGCTTGAGGGTTTTTTTTTTGGGGGGGGGGGGGGGGGGACACCACAACACATAGTTTTGCACTAATTTTTCAGCCCCCTTTGGGTGAATCATTGACAGAACTCTCTTGCTTCCGAAGCATGGTGAAAGCCCTCAGTTAAAACCAGAAGGCAAGTTAGGCTTCCTATCTGAATTTGAAGACAGTCACTAGAATACATATTAAAAGTCTTTGTTTTGAAATACATTGACCACTTCTAATGGACCTTGCATCTCGCTGAGCAATATGGTACTGGAAATAATCAAGTAATTGGGAACGAGAGGTTCATAGCAGGGAAGAACGAGCTTTTCAGAGTTACCAGGTACCAGTACAATTTGTATTGCCTTTTTTTCATCCCTGCATTCTCTTTTGGCTATAGCAATAGCATTCCCTCAAATATAAAGGAGTTTCTCCCCTCATTCTTTCCATGAAGGGTTATGAAGCGAAGTGCCTTGGGGAGAGCAGGAGCACAGAGCTTGCTGTATGTATCTGGGAGGTAAGAACTTCTTCCCCCTGCTCCCCTTTTGTTAAACACACCGAGCTCAGTTTCTTTGGTTTGCTACTGAGTGTTTAACACTTTTTAAAGCAGCGTTCTGGTTATAGGAGACTGTCAGGAAATCTAGCTCAGCAGGCACTGAAGCCGCTTGCTGGCACAGCAGCCTCAGCCACCATTCTGCACTCCACCCGTGGGCTATAGCGAGTACCTTTACTAAAGGCAGCAGTTTGCTGCTTTACTAACCAGTTACTCTTCCCCTCGCTGCCAGCTGAGGTGGTTCTTAGGCTGTGGTCACCTGTCTGCTACAAATGGGTTGAGTTAATAATCTTTCTTTCAAAAGCTAATAGTTCTGTGTACTTATCCTACATTTTAAATGTAGAACACAGTTACTGCTCCCCTGAGCTCATCGCTGCGCCTTCCATTAGCAAGTGTCCTGCTTCCGGTCTCTTGTGCAGTTTTCAGCTTGTGCTTCTAGTGGAAGTAGCCATAGCAGCAGCAGTATTATGTGTCCAGCAACAGTGCTGGATTGTTGAAAGCAGAACTTTTCTGGAAGGACCTGTTAGCAACAGGAAATGCTGCTCACAGCAGTGTAGTCCTAACTCCGGCAAAACCACCATCCCTTGGTGGTGTCCCTAGGATGACACGTCTGTATAGTTCAGGCAGCATACCAACTACCAAAAATTTAAGCTAGATATCAAAGCATATAGAAAGTAATCACAGAAGATCGAATATTAGAACTTGAGCTTTTGTTGCTTGCAAAATCAGTATGGTTTTTTTCAAATTCAAAACCTACTTTTTAAAATAGGTACTTCCTCCACCCTTTGATGTGAGAAATCCTCACTATAGAGGGGACTGACCTTTACAATAGAGGACAAAATGCTGCATGCTTAAGAGCTTCTAAAGCACAAAGTTTGCATGTAGTATAGTTCATCGTATAGAAACATTGCTGCACTGCTCTGTGTACCCACGTTGGTTGATACAGGTTGTACTTTGCAGAATTGTTTCAGGTGTTTAAAGCCCACCTTATAAACAAATTTGAGGTTGAAGGAAGATTTTTTCCTTTTAATCAAGGATTATAACAGGACTTAATAGGGTGAGGGAGGATGCTGGAAAACCTGTCTTAAGCAGAACTTTGTTCTTTAATACTAGAACAGTGTAAATCCAAGTTATGCGTAAGGTTACTGGTTTTAGGATTTGCAAACTATTATTCCTTCAGAAAGTTGCTTTTTTTTCACTCGTGAGCCCAGCTGCAATTGGCAGTACACCATCTGCAGCAAGCTTTCAAGAACAAGAACCGGGCAGCGAGCAAAGGAAGGTAAGGCACTCCCCCTTCTAGTAAGCTTTTTTTAAAGTCATCGCTGGATGCAGGCGCTCCCAGGACCTCAGTGGTGTTGCTGTCCTAGCTTGCTTTCAAAGCTCTGTAGTGCCCTCGAGTGGCTAAAGTGCGCAACGTGTCCCCATACAACTTACAAATGCAATTGAGTTACCTTCCAGGTTCTTCCTCAAGATTAACTAAAATAGAGTAACTTTACATGATTAGTTAAGAGGATAAAACCTTCAGTTAAACCCAACCAAACTTCAGGAAAAAGAGCCTTAACTGTAGATGAAGAAGTGGTGTTCTGAGCCAGATTGTGTTTAGGCTATGTTGAAGGCTATTTTACTGCTCTAATATTCAAAACAGTTTTTTTACTTTTTTAATAATAAATCTGCAAACACAAGCTTTTACCTGTAGTTTAATATTTATATACTGATGGATAGCACCTAGAGGCCCCAACCAACATTTGAGCCCCCTCAATGTCTCTGCCCCAAAGAGCTTACAGTCTAAGCAGTCAAGAAGTAGGAGAAAATAATAACCATGCTTTCTTTTATAGATCAGTAACTCTGAGCCAACACAGGTCAAGTGATTTACCTGCTCTAAGGCATAGAATGTGTGGTGGGAATTAAACCAACATCTCTTGAATCTCTGCTGCAGGTCTCAGTTAAAAGATGCTCCTTCCTCTCTAGACCACTTTTCTCTTAATAAAAATTAGCCCATTTGGAAATCTCAGCCTTAAGCTGATTAAGGTTCAGGACTGTTCTCCAGGTCAGGGCGAGAGCTGCAGGAACAGAATAGAGAACGTATCTGTCAGAAGTGTAGCTACTTCACATATTTTCATTTTCTGTGGTCATCTCACAGGTTTGGGCCCTAAAGCTGCCACAAGAGTAGCTGTTCTGGGTGCTATCTACCTCAGCTTGGAATGGTTATCATCTCCTGTCTTTTCAATTCAGTGGGCTTTGTTTTACATGCTGCCAGAGCAGCCCAAATCTTAGAAAGACACACGGTTTATGCACTACTAGAACAAACGTGTTCTGTCCTTTCCCAGGTCCCTGTATATGAATGCTTCTTGCTGCTGAGTGCAAGTCAGGCGCTGTTGGTAGGGAAGGCAGGGAGAGCTCTTTCCTCCGGGAGCTCCTTCACCTTAGCATCCATTCTTCTGCTTTTCTCGGGGATAGGGATAGGCTGCTATGTTCATTTTAGACTTCTGGGGAGCCAGCAGTAAGATACAGGTTTGTGTTTACAAGAAGAGACTTACTATTTTATTTCAGCTTTGGTAACAAGTTCTTGACTTGGAGGTAGCAGCAGGTTCAGTTTATTTCTATATGCATCAGCAAACCAAAATAAAATGAGCTGAAGGATGCACATCGCTGAATTGCCCACTCTCTACCAACATATATAACTGCAGCTAATTGAAAAAAGACAAAGCTATTAATATTTTGCATTTTAAACTAAAAAACTTCAGTTTCATACTTAGTTGAAAGTTTTTGAAATCAGCACCAATCTCATTGTGTAAATCACTGCCACCTGGTCAGTCACCAGTCCTATGTCTTTTGTCAAATGTGCATAAAACAAGGAGATTTCTGATGCTCCGTGTTTACAATGATAACTGAAAGGTAAGAATGAATAGCCATTAGCAGATAAATTACTTAACAGTAGTCAATAAACAAATACACTTCACCTGTATAAAGCAGTATGTTAATTCACAAGTTAAGTTGTATTGATAGTTGAGGTGGCAATATACAATGAAAATGTTAAAGTATCATCACTTGAAAAATAGTCTTGCTTTGTCAGGGAGCTCTGTTTATACATAAGGGTAAATGAAACAGCACTGACCATAGAAGCCGAACAGTCATGCATACAAAAAGTGATCACTTTTCAGCTATTGCACAAGTAGTGACACTCTTAAGACATACACGGTAGGATTCTTACAAAATGACAACAGAAAGACTGCATGCACCATCTTTCAAGGCCTTATGTGAACTATACATACACAAGAGCTGCTGTATACTGTAAATACACTGTGGGTGTGTATAAATTCACATAAGATGAAAAGATTCATTTGTAAATAGGAAAAGGTCAGTTTCCACCAGCTTATGCTTTATTTTATTCAGAAGGTTTCTTAGCGTGTACACTATTTCGGATAAAATGCATGACACCCCACTTCAGAGTATGTAAGCATAATCTTAAATGCTTTGGTAACTGGATATTCCCAAGGAACAGGTTTTGTTAAACCAAACCGATTACTAAAACGTGAATGTGACTTTTATTGAGAAAAGAAGGATATAGAATATGGCTAATAACTTCACATATTTTCACAAGATACAAAAAAACCCTTTTCAAGTCGATTGGGATTTCTAAGCACAAATAAAACCACTGATAGCATGGTGTACAACATTTAAAACCCTGATCAAAATGACTTCAGAATAATTGTGCATTCCCCAAATATATCAGGTTGGCAACTGAGGAAGGAAATGAAATATTAAATGAATAAGTTGGTGTAAGAGGGGTAAATTCTCTCCGTACCACAAGTTTCATAATAAAATACTGCTGTATGTTTTAATTTTAGACATAAACATTTTTGCATCAGAGTCTGGTTTGTTTCTAAATGACTGAAAGATTCAACTAAAAAGGTGTTTACACAATATACACATTTCATTACTTACAAAGAGAAATAAGCTTAAAATTTCATATTAAAAACCTGGGATACAGTAGGGTTAGTAGCACCATGAAAAATGTTTTTCAAAACTGCAGTCTTGTTATTTTAAACATACTCAGTGCGTTGTGTTTTTCTTTATTCTCTTGGTTGATCAAAAAGGTGCCATTTTGGTACAGGGAGAGAAATGAAAAAATTTCATCTTCTGATCCTTTGTGAACCTCAAGTGTTCTTTTCTGTTTCCAAGAGGTCAATTCTTCCATCTTAGTCCTGTTGTCAAATACGTACCAAACAACCCTTAGTTTGGCACATGAGTGAGGTACACTTGAATTTGCACGGTAAAACAGTTTGGATTTGTTTTTTCTTTTCTTTCTGCACAGTAGCACCATTGTTGCAGCTGGAAGACAGTGCATCTTAGGAATTTTGAACTGTTTTATAAAACATTCTCCAAGATGTTACGTCTTCTTCATGCAAACTTGACAACGACTAATACGCGTCCTCAAGTCTCCAGCTTTCAGTGTCTCTGACTGAGGTTTACTGGTTGACAGACACAAAGGTAAGGTTAGGTTAGCTTTTTCTTTGTTCACAGAACTGTTCCTTTAAAATTCTCCTTCATTCACAGTTTAAGATAACACTTAAGTGGGGAATTAGTCCTGTATTTGAGAGTTTTCCTTAAGAGTGATCTTTCTGTACATCTTCAACACCAGGTAACAGATGCTCGGTTTTGTCCAGTGGCTCAGAATACCGGAGGTATGCTAACCAGCTACTTCAGTCTAGCATATGATGTAGCACAAATACCAAACCAAGCGGAAGGTGAATTTTGTACATTTGAGACACTGTTTCTGGGGTCTTTGTTTGGGTTTCTCAGCTGAAGGGTACTTTAACAACCCATAAAAAATACTGCTACAACAAGACTTGTATTTAAGTGATGGCTTTACCAAATTATTTATATTCTGAAAGGGTAAGGAGGTGGGAGAGTAATATATTTGTGTAATATGCGTGTACACAGACTAAGTCCAATTCTTAAAAGTTTCTTTTAAAAAGCAGAATATAAAAGGAAGTTGTGTTTATGGGAGACAGAAAACTCAAAGATGCATGGTAGTTGTTAGCAGGCAGTTTTCACTGATGAATTACTGGTGGATTGCCACTGATCAACTACCCTGAAAACTTTGGGTGATGACTATTTAATGCACATTAAGTATCACAGTTGTAGGTGTTACATAAAACCAACTTAGGAGCCACTACTACTATATAACACAGTGCCAGCCCTGTACCACAAAGCTACGTTTTTCAGTTTGGTGGCATTGGGAATATCTGTGAGGTTTTTACCAGTACACAAACAGGGCAGCAGCAATTTATTCTATGAAAGGAGATGATTTTTCAAAGAAAAAATGATTTTGCTACTCAAGTTGAAAGGGAAAAAGTTTGAAGAGCTGAGAGACTCCAGCTGAAATGCTGACTGCAGAGAAGCTGAGGACAGAATGTCCGCTGGCTTCCTTGCCACCAAAATGTCATCCTTCTGCAAAGTACTGGAAAAAGCGTTTGCCATGAAAACCTCCTTCACACAAGACTTTTAAAAACAGGTTATATGAACATCTGCCTTAAAAGGCTTAAGTAGAGTTGATCTTGCCCTTCATACCTGCCCCTTGTATGTCTGTGAACTACCTTTTCAAATATTTGACTCTACTGAAAAGCCTGGCAAGAAAAAATCCTAAGAAAATTGTTCTTTTAGGCTCCAAATACAGTAACTACAGTAGCACTACTTTCAGAGAAGGTACTACTAAATGTGAGTAAGGGTTGACATGAAAAGAATCTGACTCCTTGCAAAACAGAATGTGCCCTAGCAAGTTTTTACATATTAAAGGCTTACTAAGGAAACACTTGAAAAACTGGTTGTGAGGGGAAAACAAACAAAATTATTTCCCTGTACCCCTGTAAACAAATCTCTTTTGAACTTCAGAATAAATTCGGTTTCTAAAGCTTTCATTCTGGAATAAAGCAATACACAAGAAACAGGTTTTCTTACCTGAACATTTCTGACACCTCTACAGTTGCCAGCCAGAAACTATATGAATTGGCATAGTAATTACAAGTGCCACGACCATGGCATTCAATAAACGGAGCTGAGCGGAATTCTTCTAAACAGGATCCAGGTGATGCCAAGGCCTGTCCAGAGCCCTCTGCTCCAGCACTAGTGTGCTGGTGTAGGCGTGGAGGAAAGAAACACACAAACAGGAACCTTACAGTAGGTGTTGAAAATTAAACAGCACAGCATTCAACTACTAAAAGAGCCACTGTTCATTCTTGGTTGAGACAATGCGGTGCCAGACACCTCCATAAATATCAGTTACACTGGGCTCTGCGTACTGGAAAATTACTGTTAATCTTGGCTACCATGGTTAGTAATTGAAGGTAAAGGCTTTCGAATGACAGCCATTATAGTTTTTAACAAGATCCTAAAGCAGCTAGTTGAGGACACAAGTGGGTACTTGCCAGTTCCGCAGTAGGAGGCAATTCTTACCATCATGAAAGAGTAACCAATCCAAAGGGAGTCCCAGCCTGGAGGACACGAAGGAATCTGAATGGTCTGACTGTGGACAGCTATCACCATCGCAGGAGCTTCACACACAACACATCTGGACACAGGGGAAGTATCAGAGAAACACGTGATTTTAAAATACAATAGGAGTATGTTTTATTAAGAATTCTTACACCGCAAAAGGGAGGAAAACTAGCCTGTGAGAGGCTGTCCTGTTTATCTAGCTGCCTACTTCTCACCTATTTTGTAACTGCAATAAGACAGTATTTTGGAGTGCAAAATCTGCCTGTATTTCCACTAACAACCATTGGGTAAAATACTGAAGCAGTTCCTGAAACAAAAACTGGAAGCTCAAAGTCGCCAAGTGAATGCCTTAATCTTAGAGCTGACGGCTCTCATAGTCTCTTTCCTGTCCATGGTGATCTTGTGCTGCTGACCACAGAGCTTCCTCAGTCGAGGAGGGTTCTCATAGACCTTCAGCCTCTAGTTATCACTGTTGCACGTAGACAGACCGTTCAAGACATGAATACTTTAAAACGAGCTATTTTCCTAGTTTTTCCCAGAGCAAAACATGACAGATTCATCTCCTAATATCCAACCTTCACATTGGAAATACATGGATAAGATGTGCTATTTATCCAGATATTAAAAAGGAGACCTGATAGCCTGCTTTGTCTCACCGGCTAATGAATGGCTGGATGCTTTGCCCAGTCAGTGGCTCCATGCTCATCGGCATTGGCTCTGGAGTTGACAGCCAGTAGGAATAGTCATTCCTTGATGCAAAATTACAAACATTGTTGATGTTGCAGAACATGAAGGGCATGGTGCTGAAACGTCTAAGACAGCTCCCAGCAGTACCTACAGAGTAAGATACACAAAATGTGACAGCAAGGTTTTCACTTCATTGCTTTTGATAGCAATTCTTTGAGAAGAGTAATTGTGCATTCTTCCTCTCCACCTGTGAGTGCACAGCATGTGCTATCAAATTGTCACATGTGGGAAAAACTTAACTTCTCACTTTTGGTTTACATTCTTTCATCCTGAATTAAAATGTGCAACCTCTGGAAGTAGCAGATCTTAGTATGCAATCCCCATCCTCATCTAAGAGATCTCTAAGACTGTCATATCTTCAGAGAACCAGAGCATTTGAAGCAGCACCTACACCCTCTTTCCCCTTAAAGTCAGAGCATACAAAGTATCTCACCCAAATCCTGGCCATGTGCTCTTTCATTTCCTTGCACATATAGAAGAGAGAATCCATCATATATTCTTGATGTTCCTTGTGGACATAGTGGTGTATCCCTGGTCTGGCTGTGCCGAGTTATAAGGAATCCGTGAGCAACAGAAGCTGTTCCAGGAGGACCGGGTGGGCCTTGTAAGCCATCAGGACCAGGAGGTCCCTGTATTCCTCGTGAACCTGTTCACATGAGAGAAACACAACACCCAGTATTTATTAACACCATTTCTTCCTCTTTTAGGACTAATGTAGCTCTGAAAGATAGCATGATCTTGAGAGTAAGGTGCTTGTGAGTTGGGGGACCTGGTATCTGCTAACACTATCTTCGTCAAATTATTTTTTCATGTAAGTTTGGTTAAATCACTGGGGCTGTCATAGCTAGTTATAAAATAACAGTGCAACTTCCCTGTGTTGTAGGGGTATTGTGAAGTTAAATATGTTCAGAGCTGTGAGGCACTAAGGTAACAACTGCAGTGGACATGACAGCCACTGAAATGAGTCCAAATCAGCTTCCCAATTCCAAAATGTATTAATCTGTGTATGCAGCTTAATAAGATAATGTTGAAACATCTTGCTCAAGATCACAAAATAAATGGCACAGCCAGAAACAGAAGCAAGTCTCACTCTAGGGCATGCTATAACACCAGAGCCAAAGCCCACCAAAATGAATAGAAAAGCTGCAGTCAGTTTTGGAGTAGGTTACAAAAAGTGGAAATAGTCTAGAACAACCTTGAATAAGAGCAAGAATGAGTCATATGACTGAGAAAGGTATCAGAAAAGACATTTGTTCTTGAACAGCAAAAATATCAGGAAATACAACTACAAATATTTAGACTACGTTATTCCACAGTCATTATTATTTACATTTTTTCACTAAAATAATGCTAACAGATTTCATAGAGCATAGAGCTTTTCAGAGAAAAAGGAAAAAAAGGCATTAGGGATTTTTGTACTGTTTTAACTGTTTAAATTCCAATACTTTTTCTCACAAGTTGCAATATATAGCTACTTAATAATGTATCATCTTCTTTAGAAAATTGTCCTAGTGCCTAGTCTGATTTCTTTTCTCAAATCATAATTCAGTAATTCTAAGCAATAGCTGCATGGTAGCCTGATCTCTGCCTTTGGTGACATTTTCTCCTTTATGAAGTCCGGTTTTCCCCATTCACGATTTCCATGCAAAATTAAAACTATTTTACTAATCTCTCTCTTCTGTTTCTTCATTATCTCCTGTGCATCATCTGTGCTGCAAAGAGGATGCCATTAAGCTTGAGATAAAGCACTCTACAGTATTATTCAGCAATGATGGACAATGTGTTGGTTCCAAGAATATTCCAGACCAAAGTATGTTCAGCTGCTTGTACTACATTTGCATTTAAAAAATCCTAAAATTATGATTTTATTATTATTCCCACGAGGCAAAATCTCACTTCCCAATATTAGCCTGCACTCACAAAAGGGAGCATCTATTTTTCCACTGGGTCCTCCTAGGATAAACACCGTACCTGGTTGGCCTGGAAGACCTCTCTCTCCTTTACGTCCTGCCGGACCATCAAAACCAGGTAGTCCATCTCGCCCTGGGTCACCAGGAAGACCAATTGGACCTAGACAAATAGACAAATAGACAAAGGCATAAGTGAAAGAAAAGCTCTTGAAATCTCACTACAGAAATCTTCAAATTGTCTGGGACTCATCTATTGTTTCTTCATGATACATTAGACAAGAACAGACCGTTAAACCAGATTTATATGGTAGAACCCCACATTTATCTATTACCTCTTGCTGAATTCAGCAACTTGTCTCTGCAGCCTATGCCAAGTGATTCGCATTGCAACCTGCGGTCAGCTATACTTCTTAGTTATTTTCTCTGCAGCCACCTAGGATCATACCTGGCAATCCCTGTGGCCCTGGCAATCCAGGTGGCCCTTTCAAGCCAGGCTGTCCTGGAGGACCCGGGGGACCAGGGTCACCTTTGACAACAATGCTTCGTCCAATGGTACCTGGTAAACCTGGTGGACCTAGTAGATAAACCAAGGTGGAAGACAGCATTAGAAATAGTTTCTGTTATTCTTTATTGCAAAGTCAGAAGCCAAGAGCTCTATCAATGCAAAGAATAAGTGCATGCATAAGGCCAAAAAGTGCTCTTGGTGACCCCTGCCCGCAAAGGACAGCTCTTGCAGGGGTTAATCCATGTAGACTGGATACAGAGTATAAAATATTGTAGGATTACTTGTCGGGCTAAAAAGTATAGCCTGGAATTGTGTTTAAGCTGTTGCTCACTTAACTACTTTCATTGCTGGCTGAGACTGAACCAGTTCTACATCTGCGTAACAAACTCTACTGGCAGGGAGCAAAAGTGACAATAACACTACGCAGGACTCCTACCTGGTGGGCCTGGCGGTCCTTGGCTGCCCGTGAGGCCAGCAGGTCCTGCAGGTCCAGTGGGACCCTTCATACCTGAAACATCAAATTCACACAGTTACTCAGTGAAAGAACATGCTGTCTTACAAAATCTGCTGCAGGAATGGCCAAAATCAGGCTGCTTTTCTCCCTGAGGGGCTGTTACTGCATCTGGAGGTTTTCACTTGAAACGCTAGTTAAATACCTGGGAATCCTGGAACGCCTGGAACCCCGGGGTCGCCCTTCATTCCATTCAGACCTGGACGACCAGGATCCCCCTGAACAGAACAGCTTCACGTTATTCACTCATCTCCCTCAGCAGTTTCAGAAAAAACAGAAAAGGTGGCTGGATGACAAATAAGCACACTTTGGGTCTGTGAGCTAGTGCTTTGAAGGGCTGAGGCCATGCATTCTGCTCACTGCACTGGGTGCTGTCAGAGAATGCTGTAATATGAACTGTGCATTGACAGCTCCAGCTCCCACGGGAATATAATGGGGAACCATCCTGCTCAGATACTCGGGATAATTAAGGAAAAGACCCTCTTACTTGCTACAAGACAGGATGTTAGCTACCACATTTTGTCTTTTATTTTAGTATGATAAACTGCGTATTCCACCCAAATATATTCCATTTTTATTGCATTTAAAAATAAACTAGGGGGAAAATTCCATTTCTTGTCCTACCTGGCGTCCAGGTGGTCCTTGATCTCCCTTTTGACCAGGCAGGCCAGGTGGGCCAGGTTGACCTGGGTTCCCTTTTTCCCCTTTAAGTCCTCCATTGCCTGGTGGCCCTCGTGGACCTTCTGGGCCTGGTGGACCTTAACATTGCAGAACAAATATACGTATATCAGTACACATCAACCAATCTCCCCAAATTTATACCTTCAGTGTAAAAAAAAAAAAAAAAATTAAAGATATTCTGGTTTGACTTCCCAGCTCTATTTCAATGCTGAATTCAGGATAAACTAAAAGCAAAACAAATAGAGGGATTATTTGCACTACCCAAATCAGGAACCAAGGCTCCTTATCTGGCTGATGCAGAGAAGCAGGTCTTTCCAGAAGGCAGTGCAACTCACCGGCGTTAGAAGCTTACCAGTGACCAGACCGGTGCCTTTAGTAGGAGCCAAGAAACCCAAAATCAGATGGTACAAATATCCCCTCTGCTGACCTGCATTACATTCACCATCTCTTAAGTGCTGTCTTAACAGACTGAATTCCTTTTGAAACCCAGTCTCAACAATGTAAAATATTGCTGCTTTTTTGTTGTTAGAATTTGACATACCTATTGAGGAGCCCAGTTTATGCTGTCTACTGGCTGCTGGGCAGCAGGAAGCCCATCATTCTGCCTTGCCTAAATACTAATCTGAGTTGCAGAAACTTCCTTATGTTGAATGACTCTCCCTCCAACTGATTTATCTTTAGTAGAATTACACTGTGTAAATCCAGTAGAGGAACTGGCCTGGTCTTTAAATATTTTCCCTTTGCTACAGCCACATTAATCCAAAGCAAAGCAGTGGATTTAAAAGAAACTTAGGTATTTGGAGAACTGAAAGATGAGACCCCCGCCTTTATGACACCGTCTAAATAGAAGGTAGCCAATATTAATTTGTGGCAAAACAAACCATAAGCAAGTGCAGCAACAGCTAATAACATTTCGCAAGTTGGATCTCATAATTGGATTAACAAAAGGATCTCTTTGCAGGACAGCGCTATGACATTCTCCCCTGTAGCACAACACATCTAATAACATTTATCAGTGTGCTGGATTTTCAGTTCTTCTGCAACCTCGAATAACTTAACATCTCCTTTGACATCCTCATCGTCTTTATTCAGTGGATAAATTTGATGAGCTGTATTTCTGCATGCAATTCTGAGTATAGAATTCCTTCCAAAATTTTTCTTTTTAAATCAACAGCAATTTTGTACCAGATGTCACACATATCCTGTAGCAGTTTCAGCTACAGAAAACATCCCATCATGCAAGGATTTTTTGTGTTCATTTTGCTCTTTTATACTGGTCTAGTACTGTACACATGCAAAATAATAACAGGTTACCATCTGAGGCATGCAAATCAAACACATACGATATGCAGGGTAACCATAGTCCTTAAAAAGATAATCACAGAACTACAGGAAAACATCCATTTGTCTTACATCAAGTGCAACGCAGTAAAATAAATTGACCGAGTTAAGAGTCTAACCTGGAGGACCTGGAAGGATCAGAGTTCACCAAAGCCCAATGATCGATGTTAGAAGGGTCAGACATCACACAGTACAAAACAAGATTACTAGTTAGAAATAGTACAGATGACAGCATATACACTACACAACAACCCATCTCACCAGCATATTTTGTATTTACAATATAATCCACATGCATGCATAAAACCATACATGAATACACAACGATATGTATTTTCAGATACAAGTTATTCTGGTGACTAGGCTCTACTAAGACTAATTTGACACTTCATTTAACAGAAAACTTAAAGCTTTACTAAAGAACGTGTTATTGCTTCGACATTACAGCTGAGGCCTGTGACTGGTTAGTCCTGCTCACAACGGGGTTTGGACTATGCAACCATTTCACTGACAATATTCAACATCACAGGGCTTGGAGCTTGGCAAATATGCAGGTAAATTGTGAATGACAACTTACTCTTGAGCAAAATTCTGCTTTGGGCAGGGGGCAAGTGTGGTGAACAGAAGGACTTATCACCACTAACCAGGTTTGAGCCTCAACTATCTGTGAATACAGTTCTAGGACTGAAAAGTAGGCTTCTACCCTCCTTCAAAACAGTAAGCAGGATTGACATGGATCAAAAGGGCTGCAAATGCTATGAGCAAAGATACAGCAGAATGTACAAATTTAGAATTTGTTGTCTTTACTGTTGGCATTATTTTTTCTTGATAAAAATACCCCAAGATGCTAATTTACCTGTTTAAGGTTATTATGGAGAATGGAATGTGATAACATCCTTAGAAAAAACGTTTAATTGTCCTCTTTCAAAAGGTAAGCTGTTTGTCCCTACCATGCTCCTGAATTAATACATACTTTAGCTCCTGTGCCACTTGCATCTTTCATGTCAGTGAAATGATTTAAACATATCAACATATCACCATGCAATTTACAGCTAGAAACTACAATAAATACACATCAGGTTTACCTCAATGAGCTATTTCTTACATATTTGGTAAATTATTTTAAATACTAACTGTAATACAGTTAAAAATACTGACATGGACATTTCACTGTTAAGTACTTATAAACTATATTTCACTTTTAGATAAGTTTTGCTATGATTTATAAATCTGTCCTATACTTGATGATGATTGACTTCTGGCTGGGCACAGTCACAGGGTGGAACGAAACATGAAGGAATTGCTAAGTTCCTCTCAGCATACCCATGATGATAGCCTTCTTTGAAAGTGTGGTTACCACTTGTGTGGCCACAGTTTAATTAAATGGTAAAGCCACATTCATTTTTTTACATGACTGCATAAAGCTAGGATTCAAACATCAGGGGCTACCACGTTTGCTACCTCACAGTGCTTAGGACAGGATGCTAAAAACTAAAATGTATTCCTTTATTGAATTTTGATGACAGTTCTTTGCTTCCTGAAGTCATCATAGCAAAACCTAAAGACATCACTATTATTAAACAGATATACCAAGTCATTTTCAATCTAGACACAGATGTTAAAAATCTTCCCAAGAGCTGGCTTGCACTACATGCCAATATGCTAAAATTACAATAAGCTTGTGAAAATCACCATGTTCTTACCAATCCTGTTCCACCACCCTAGTGTTAGGGAGGGGAGGGCTGTATGCTTCGTTTTCATTAAATACATGTTAAAAGAAGAGCTTTCCTCATTTCCTCTAAATGTGCTGGTGAAGCAAAACAATGGAAATAAGGATTTCTCTGCACTGGAAAGTGACAATACTCAAAGTTGGGAATGTAAAGCATCACTGTTACTCTGTATAAATTTTCCTATGGACACTGTTGGTATAAAAGAAGCATCTAATTTATTTAAGTCACTTGAGCGTGTCCAAAATCAACAGTACCAGGTGTTAAAAAAATGAATAATGTCGTTTGCCCAAGCTGCAAAACACAATTATACAGCAAAGACATGGGAGGACAGCACAATAAGCTTTTTTAAAAAAGATGAAAAACAGTATATTTTTTTTTTCAATGGTACTGAGAATAAATATCCTAAAACAAGTTTCACAGTTGGGGACGCTTTATAAAAGACTTGCAAATCTGGACCCATGTGATCTTCCCACCATGGGGAGAGCAACACTATGGCCTTCCAATGTCAGTCCTACAGCAACATGGTGGAAGAGTCTGAAAGCCAACTCTGAGCTTTTCTCTTCTACCACAAATTAAAAGGTATGTCTGAAAAATGACTCAGCATATCTACATTTAGATACTACAAAAGTATATACATCCATTTTCATGCAAAGTTATTATTTTGGAGTTAAGGGGCTAACCTGAGGGACCTGGGAGTAGGGGATCAGAGTTCACCAAGGTCATCATTAGAACAAGGGGAAAAACATCAAAATTGTTAGAAATATCAACAAGCTAACATATTCAACTAAACCTTTCTTTTTAGATTTAGCTCAATATTCCTTTACATACAGTATGCAAAACACCAAACTATTATTATTTATAGCAATGAAAATAGACATGTGGAGTAACAGCAGTGTTGTGTTGCCCTGGAAATTGGCTTACTTTTTATAACTGATTAATAAATCCATCCCAACACCATCTATTAACGTTTGTTTTGGGGGCAACTCCACTGAAGTCAGAGAGCTACACCATGTTTGACTTCATTTTCACTAATCTTAGAACATACCCAGAAGTCAACAACAAACAGTATACACTTCTGGTTTTATTTACGTCCCTAGAAGGGGGGTAATTTGACAGTCACATAGCTGCTTTTATGACTAGCTGCCTTAAGTTGAAATGTTACAAAATCAGCGTTCCAACAATAGACTGTGTTATCATTTGAAACAAAAGGCTGGAGTGCTGATTGTACCAGAATTGCAATAATAGTTTGGTGTATCCACATTAGTTCACACATAACTGAGCAAAACAAATGCTTCACTTTATACATTGCATGCAACAAAAATGGAAATAAGAGAAGGAATGAGAGAGAGAGAGAACATGGCTGAGCAGAACCTCACTGGTTGCTTCCCCCTGCCAATGCTCATAACACTGCACAAAATGAGACCTGCCATTCCTCTGCTTCCCCAGCTGATGAGAGTCACCTCATTTATACAGAGAAGTGTAAACAGGGATGAGAAGCTTCATAAAACCACCAATGCTACAGCAGAGCATAGAATCTCAGTTGGTAGTTTTATTATACATCAGGTGCTGCTTAGCTGGTTTACTTTTTTTTTTTTTTTTTTAAGAGTTTGGAGATATCCTCTGTATAAGAATCTTTTAAAAAGAAAGCCTATACTCTCATGGACCAATCAGCTTCCTGTGCCAAAATTTTAATTGCTGTACCACTCTCTATATACAGAAGAATTATATTTGGAAGATCTTGACATCTAGGATGTCTTAGGCCTTTATTTGGGCACATTTAAATTATGAAACCCAAGTCCATCTCTTACCTCTTCACTCCTCCTCCCACTTGCCCCGGCTGCAACTCTAACCACAGTGGGCAGAGCTGGGATTACTTTTCCTGTACTCCTACGTGGCAGTGAGTAACTAGGCAGAAAGGGACATGGCCACACAGAAAATGGAAAGCAAATGAGGACTACCAACTTGCTGCAGGGATGCTCCACTGACTGGTTAGAGCCTCTGGGGCAGACCACGGAGGAAGTTCCTCCAGGAGAAAGGGAGAAGGCATGCACTCCTTCCACTAACCAAATAGGAAACCAGGAAGAGATTGTGACTGGCTGTGAATTATTAACCCACTGGGTTGTTCCATACCAGTCGTGTAAAATGCAGGTTTCGGATACAACACAATTCAAGTATTTTTACTAGGACTAAAAGAAAACTTCATTATCCTGGCAAACAGCACCCCAGTTTTAAGGTGTTATACATTAAAACCAAATTTTGTTTATAATAAGTCATTTTTTTAAATGCACAGTTAGGATAGATGAGTTCATAGCCTACTCTGCACAAGCGAAAAGCTCATAGTGCCATTGAGAATAATCAAATATTACTCAATTCCAGTTCCAGTGAAAATACTTTGATAAAATTCCATTCTGAAAACGTTTTTCAGTGGGACTGCCTACTCCTGTATAAGAAGCAAGCACGAGAAAAAAAAACAAATCTTCAAATCTTTGCGAGGGTGTCCTGCAAAGCTAAACTCTCCCTTGATACCTAAAAATAACAATACATGTGTAGCAGCTTTTCTTACAAATGCACTAGCTCAAAACTAACTTTCTGTTATTCAAAGATTTCTCTGGGGAAAAATCTGAGGTCTGAGCTTGAGGGCAATAAATAAAAATACTAATTCTCCATTTATATGCAAAGAAAAAACTGTAATCAACCAATAGCTTTGTTTGAAAGTGATCTCCTTTGAGCATGTCAAGTGAGATGAGTCTTATTGGTGGCAAAGTACTTCTGGACTCAAGATACAGCAATAAGCTTGAGCCAGAGCTGTGACAGGTTCATTAAAGTTAGATTTTTCAAGAACAGTATCTAAATGCAAATAAATATTCTATGACACAAAATATAAATCAAATTCCAATACATGCCAGGGAGTTGCTCAGCAATGTTAACTCAGTATAGTGGTTTTTTTCATTCCCAGAATTAGTTGGTGCAGGAACAAAATGCAAACATGGAATGGAAAGATGAACACGGCATGATGGTGCACTGAGTCCATGGGAGCCACGTGACACAATGAAGCAATGACTTATGTTACATGACACGAAGATGAAGAGGCAGCTATCATCCAATTTGATCATGCTGTGATGCTAGCGTGAATTTGATTTTCATGACTCTTAAAATGATGGGGTTTGTTACTTTTGTTTTTTTGTGCGCGATGACGTTTGCTGATCACGTGACAATACTGCAAAGGTATCAGATACTCAAAAGTCGATATCGTGCTCGGTAGATGATTACTGTGACAGCATGCGGAGAATCTCCCGTTTATTAACGCATTGGATTTTTGCTGCCAGGTATCAGAGATTAATAGAAACTGAGGCTGTTTTATTTTTAGATACTGTTACGTTTGGCAACAAAATCCTCTGGTTGCCCACAAACATTAAAACCTATGCCATGAGGCTTGAGTTTATCCATCCAAATAAATTGAGAAAGTTTAAAGGCTGATAACCTACCAGCAAAACATGAAAGTACTGGCAGATGTTGATAGGTGTGGATCACGCTCTTACCTGGCCTTCCTGGAACACCTGGTGGGCCAGGGCTACCTTTAGGACCTTCCAGAGGTGGCCCTGGTAATCCTGGTGGACCTGGTGGACCCTGTAGACCAGGGAATCCCTGGAAACCTGGTTCTCCCTTCGGACCTGGAAGTCCAGGAGGCCCTGGTGGGCCAGGTAACCCCAGTTCTCCTTTTTGCCCTGTAAAACCAAACAACCACATTTATGAATACTGTTACGATACGCAAAAAAGTCCAAATGTTAGTTTGCAAAACCATTTCTCTCTCTTGCAGGAGGTGCAAGTCTGGCCACAACTCACCTCATTTGTGCAGCGAGATAGTATAAAATTGGTCTAACATTCAGAAAAGGTTGGGGCTAATAATTCTTGCAGGAGAAAGAGCTACAGCTTCTGACATGTTCAAAGGTCTTACTAAGTCTCACTTTGCTACTCAGTGATGCTGTAACTCACAAACATCTCTGAGTTTGTAAGCCTACAAGCAATGCTTTCATGAGCTTTTATATACCTGTGAAGAAATGTCAATGTTAAGACTTAATTTTTTGAGACACTGCTGAAAGTTAAGACATACTTGCAAAAATTTCAAATAAGCTTGAGGAATTTAGGAGCTTTAATGCTACTGGAAAGTAATATAACTTAGGTTGTTTAGTTGCTTTTGAAAATACAGCAACCAGCTATATTTTCAAAGCAGCTTCATTTGTCATCTGTTGTATGAATGCTTTATTTACTGAGACAAATCAGAAAAGTTCCACACAATGCAGCAGACTATTATCCTGTGTGGATTTATTCTGTCTGCATAATTGCTACTTTACAAAATTCAGTAGTCAGTAATGACTGTCTTTATTACCTTGGTTAATTGAAAAAGGTCTGCTGAGAAAAAGAAAAACTATTTTAGTTGTTGCTATGGCATTCATTTGTTGCAGAACATACAACATGCCCTTCTTTTTTTGGTGTATAGATATATTTTACATTCAACCTTTTTAACAAAGAAAAACAGAAAAGCTTTACCTGACAATCCTGGGAGTCCTGGAGGTCCGGGGCGCCCAAAACCTGGTAGACCTGAAGAGAAACAGATTCAGTTAATAATGAACATTCAGCTTTCAAGTCTCCAGGAACAGGAATATGAGGCTGAGAATGATGAAAGTGCAGTTCGTCTAAATCTCCGATTTAGATTCTCATTCAGGATTCTCATTCACTTACCAGTCTACACCAAAGCTGGAGATTTTGCTACTAAAATGCATCTGTAACTTTCGTATTTCCATCCATTCACAAGATGCTCTTTCAGATTTTGGAAGTTAATACATTGGCATTTCTGGTTGGGGTTCTATCTTTAAGGCAGACATTACACCGTTTATCCATTCTGTAACTGAGTTGAAGCAATACAGCTATCATGGAACACAGGAACAGGGGCTGGTGTTGGAGTCAGGTAGTAAAAATCTAAGAGCTGACTGAATTCTTGTCCTGTGCTTCACTGGCAGCTTGACAGCACCCTTTGTGAACCATTCAGCAGCTGGGAACCACAGAAGCAGCTTTGAAGGTGTATGGGCAGTTATAGGAAAAATAGAATAGAGAAAGCAATGCAGAGTGAAGAGGAGAAAACAAACAGGAAGGATACCTAACCTGGTTCGCCCTTCTGACCAGCTGGTCCGGGGATACCGTCTCGACCAGGCTGCCCTTTCTCCCCTGAAGGACCAGGAGGGCCAGGACGACCAATATCACCTAAAAGGGGGATAGAACACATTAGCACAGTAATGCCTGACCTGTAATAAAAAAAAAAGCAACCTCCCCGCCATCTGAATCTGAAGGTGTGACAATGTAACAACAAATTCACAAGGGTGTAATCTTAAAATTAAAACATTTCTCTCTCTCCCTTTCTCTCCCCCTGACAATTTAGAAAAGGCTCTAGGCCTGTGACCTTTTAAGCAGTTAGTGTTTGCTAAAAATAATAACGGTTCCCTTTAGGATAAAGTAGAATTTTGCTCCTACAAAAACAGGTTAGACCACTGGATTACTTAACATAAATAAAGCTGGTAAATACTGAAACAGTTACCTTCTTGTTTCAATAGCTAATGATAGGACTATGACAGCAGACAAAAGTCATCAAGAGAAAGTTCAAACTTCTTTCTTTTCTGTTTAATTTCAGTGAACTAAGTGCATGCAATGCAGTTTGAACATCCATATACATATAGATACATTTTCATGATGTTAAAAAAATAAGAAGATAGGAAGTGGCTACATATGTTATGTTTTTCACAGAAGCAGCTGACCTTTGCTGCACTGTTCATGCTCACCTACTGGCCCAGGTGGTCCAGGCAGGCCAGGATTACCTGGAGGCCCCTCCATACCTTTTGGTCCTGGAATTCCTGGTGTTCCTGTAGAGTACGGGCATTTCAATCAAATTAAGCACCAAACTGGCTTTTCAGCAGATCTTGAAATGCTATAATCTGAGATGCCCTGAGTAACAAATGAGCTAATTGTATCAAGATACTGTATTTATGCTCATTTTGCAGTTTTACAGCTGATTAAGGAGATGAATTATAAAGCAAAGTATGTACAGAAACAAAACACACTAGCACAACTGTCCTTACTGCTACTCTCAAGACTCTGTCTTCTTAATTGTCGAGTCCCAGTGCCCAAGGACACAGTGAGTCTGGCAGTCTGCTAGGAAATTACCATTTTAAAGACAGGTGTTTCTGCTTGACAACAAAGTGAAAGCATTCTGAACTGCGGCTGGCTAGTCCTTCCCCAATCCTCTCTTTCTTTCCTGAAAAAGGATCTTAATAAAAATGGTCTTAGTTAGAATTTACACCAGATTCTCACCCCTATGGCATGAACTGAGTGGGAGGCAGCAAAAACCAATTGATCTGTTGCAGTATGTCTGTTCTGAACAGCATCTGAGCCTGATCAAGGTAGTGTCTCAATACACCATTGTGCCTGTTCAGTCTTTCAGGCATGACATGAAGCAGAGGTTAAAAACTGTCAGGTTCATGGCCAGATTTTGTTCTCTTCTAAGCTTCCTGCTGCCATGACTACAATATTATAAATTCCCTAACTTCCTACGTTAAAGCAGCTCAAGCATGCTTGTAGAACAGCCTTTATTGCTGCAAATACAGCATAGGTAAAAACCTTGTTTCTTTAAATTGAGAATGAAAGAACTGACATATACCCATGAACAATCTCTATTTTTTTTTTTTAGAGAAAAGCGCAAAAACCTAATTTCATTATGTTTCAGAAAGAGATTTCTCTTTAGAACATATTTTTAGACAATAAATGCTGTTAAAAAAGCCCAGTTTTCCTGATGACACGGTTTTACTGATTTGTGAAGGAAAAATATGGAGCCAAACACAGGTATTTTGTGGGTGAGAAGGTGAGAGTCTGACTGCTGTGGGGAGTGGAGAGCATTAGCTAACGCAACTGCTACATCCCCTCAGAGCAGATGAATGATTTCAGAAGGCACTCCTAAGCCATGCATTCACACACTTACTCTTGCAGCGACAATTCCAACAGCACAAAGCTTAGAAGCAGCAGATTGCTAGAAACTTTGAAAGAAGCTGCAGCCCTCCACCAATTACCCACCGTGTTTAGATATATATACACCAATATCAGAGAGCAAGAGGGAAAATAAAAAAAATCCTGTTCAGAATTACCTGGGAATCCGGGAAGGCCTGGTTCTCCTTTTGCACCTGGACTGCCTGGAAAGCCAGGCAAACCAGGATTTCCAGGTATACCTTTACTGCCTGGACTACCTGGGTATCCGGGCAAACCAAGATCACCCTAGAAAACATTAAGCAGAAATAAGAACCCAGTCTTTATAAGATGGGTAAGCTCTTGTACGTTCCCTGTCTTACCATCGCAAAAGGTCACCATTATATTGTGCACACTTCTCCTTATATCCAGTTAACGTTAACCATCTCACACAGAAACTTAACTGGAAATAGCAATTGTAAAGATTTTAACAGTTTCCCCCTACAATTTTGTATACAGAGTATCATAGCTTTTCCTCAGAACTGGCCTACATTAAAGAAAAATATGTTCTCTTTTCTTTCAGAAGAGACAGATTTTTAACCCATGATACTGCAGAAGAAAAAAAGAAATCTGTGGAGCTTTAATCATGCAATGTTTTTGCTGCATTAATTGCTGCTCATCATCAACTGTAAGGCATCAGTGAAGGCTGCTAGATATCTGTAGGTCTTTTTGTCACTTTTCTGTAAATGATAGTGCAAATGTTTTATATAGACTTAAAAATTTTAAAGCAGCAGTAATCATGATATATTAGCTCCTTAGTAATTTATTCTTAAATGCATATTGTCTTAATTTTTTTTAGAATTAACTACATAATTAGACATAGGGGCAATGATATTAATTGTATAAACCCCGACCAACTACCAAAATGTCAGTGGGTGTCACAGTGCAGACTAGGCCACTAACCGAACCCAACTTCAAAGGTCTGTAAACAATCTCCTCCTTTAAGCTGATTAAATTATATGTAAATATTTTCACCTTTAAAATTAGAAATTTTTGCTCCCACCTGAAAAGAACAAACCACAGTCAACTCTGCTTGTTATTAATATATTTATATACATGTTTCCAGTTATACATAATATATATTAAGTTATAGTTTAAAAAAAAAAAAAATCAACACAGAATCTAATTTCCTCATGGAATTTTCTATTGAGGAATTCTGTAAATATACCTTTGGTCCAGGGAGACCAGGAATACCAATGCCTGAAAGACCAGGGTCACCTTTCTCCCCTTTCAATCCAGGAAATCCTGCAGGTCCAGGCTGCCCTGGACGTCCTGATATTCCTTGACTGCCTTTAATCCCTGGGGGACCTGTCCAAAAGACAGAATACAAGTTTTACAAATATAAATAAAACGTCTGCAGTAGTTTAGAGAAATCACTCAAATTACAGCAACTGAACTAGAAAGCACTAACAAATTGACTGTCTGGCTTTGAATACCTAATGTGTTTTTGTTTTTAAAAACAAACTAAAACAATTATCTAAAATCTCTCATGGCTTTTTACACGACATTTCTAAGCTTTCTTTTTTTATTCTTAACTTACACAAATCCAAATATGTCTTTATAGTATCTAGGCACAACTTAATATTAGGATCCTCAGAAACTGTAATTTTTGTTTTAGAAAGCAGTCTTTCTAAATAACGGAATTCATTTTCTCCTTCCCCTTTTGCTTGTGTCTGATGTCTTTTTTCTGACAGGTGGGTTTACAGAATCATCTTTTTTCTGAACTTTCACAGAGTGGATCTGAGAAACCAGAAAAGGATGAAAGTTACAAAATGTAGATCATTCTGCTTCTGCATCTGTAAGCACTTTAAAGTAATACGTATTTACAATATATTTGCTATTTGCACTTTCTGTTTTAATAGGTATTTCCAATTTCTTATGTACTATTTCAACAAATGTGTTTATAGGGCTTTATGTATTCCTCATCTGCACTGCCATTTAAATATATTATTAGACACTGCATACAAGCAGATCCACTTTTGTACTATATAAAAGGAAAACACTGGACAAAATAAAGTAAAATACAAGCACAGAAACTAACCTGGAAGGCCCATCTCTCCCATGGCACCTTTTAACCCTGGAGGTCCTGTTGGTCCAGGCTGCCCAGGAAGCCCCCTGTCTCCCTTGATGCCTAGGAAAGTTGTGAGTTTAGTTAGTTAATGGCAATAATTAAAAGTTTCTGATATTCATGTGTTCTCATATGAATATGCTTGTCATCTAATTACAAAGGCAATGGATTTGGAATTGCTTTAGGCCTCATACTGCTACATACTTTTTCACACCTATTTGTAGTGAAATATTAATCATCAGTTTGTTCCAAGTCAAGATTTGATCGGGGCAGCTTCTGCTTTGTTTTGAAGATTAGTCTAATGAAATGGGTCAAATCTCAGTCCATGGTTTAGTAACCATCTGAAACAATTTAGTACTGGTGTGACTTGGTCTCTCATGAGTTGTTCTGCAGAGTGAACACATTATCTCTTTCTCCTCTGCAACAGGTATTCAGTAACTTCTATTATGGAATTAAATGCGACCTACAATGCTTAAACTAGTTTGAGTCCTGGATGGTTAAAAAAATTCCCCAAGCGCAACAAGATATTTAGAGCAAGACCTATATTAGAAATAGTAAGCAAAGATTCACGATTTCAGATAATTTGTTATAGCTGTAGGAAGAAGCAGTGCACAATGGAATTCATTTTTCTTGATCCTTGCAGTTCTTGAAAGCAAAGATGTGACATCCAGCCAGCCTTTGCAATACACTCATTTGGCCATTTGCAAAGTACGAGTATAATGACTAATAATATAAGAAATAAACATATGAAACAGGCAAGTCCTGTTGGCAGATCCTGCAGTCACGTTGCTTGCTCAAGCAGCAAACACTCTTCCAGTCATCCTAAGCTATCCTAGTCTTCAATGGGATCGGCTTAAAACTGCTTTTGGGTCTCTTAGAAGGAAAGAGCTCAAAGCATGCTTTTTAGATAATGATTTTAAATGTCCCCAAACTGTGTTGCAGCTTTAAGTGTAAATCCCTGGGCTTTGCTTAGATATACCTGCATTAACATCCCAATCCCATGCGATAAAAACGCATGCAAATTTTTACACATCAAAACAGTCCTTCTGAGGCCTTGTTTACGTACCTGGCAATCCTGGCACACCTGGTGGGCCAATAGGTCCTGGTGGGCCTGGGTCACCGGGGAGACCTTGATAACCCTTCTGTCCTGATAAACCAGGGATACCTCAAAGGAAAAAGATAAATTTCATTGTTATTACTTTTACTGAATGTTTTCTTTTACCTTAAGAGATCAGATGTACCTACAAGGTGAATAAAAATCCAAATAGGGATTTTTCTTCAGTAAATATAATTTTCCCTCATTTAGTGAAGAGAAGTATCACAGAACACAAAATATTGCTTCTGGAAAGTTTAAAATTACTACAGAACAGGAACAATATAAGTAAGTAGAGGAAAAAGTAACTTTACGATTAATGCCAATATATTTCATTCAGAAGGGACTGTCTTTCCAGATGAGCAGACTCCATGCTAACCCCTCTGTTTATTCATCCAAATTATTTAGATACCTGTTTAATTACATTGCTACACCAGAAGCACTTTGGGACTGATATATTATAAAAAGTAATGCAGGTATTTGAGCAGATTTTTACAAATTCTATGTGGTTATTATCCCATACAATAACTTTGTGCTGCCCTGCAGGCATAGTTAAATCTGCTCTCTACAGCTCTTTCTTAACAGAGCAGGGAAAAAAAAGAAAACAAACCCAAAAGGTGAGTGTCTTAGGATCCTACCTAGGCTTCACAGAAATTAATACAATAGATAAATTAGCACAATAATGGCTGGGCCAACATTAAAGAAAGGCATTCTGGTTCTCTCTAGGGTAGAATATTTTTACTCTTCTCAAGAGTAAATTAGAGTTCAAAGGGGACATCAGAACCCTTTTGGGGTGGGGTGGGGGTCGGGGGGGAAGCCAGTGAGAGAAAACAGACTTGAGCCAACTGAGAAAACCTTCCAGGCTGCCAGCTTCCCAAGTAGAAACACACACAGAGATGCCATTTAGCGCAGGGGAGGGTAAGCTTACAGAGATACCCAAAGGGAGAATCTGGAGGCGATGCATGAGCAGATGACCTGTGCAATTCCATCCTACAAGGCAAAGGCCCAGGGGCCTGTGAGACAGCAGGAACGCAGCCAGCACAGCAGCCATGACAACTAGCTCTCATGATGCTTAGGAATGACACCTAGAAGACTGAATCATAATCTTGCTGAAAGCACCGTAGTGCTATTACAATATCTCCATATGCCCAATAACAGTAACAGTTAATGAGCAAGAACATTGCAGACTAACCATACAGAGTAACTTGGTCATAGAACCACTTAAAAAAAAGCCTAAAATAAGAGAACCTTAAGCCACCTCTGTATTCTGAGTTTAGTTTTTTTTGTAAGAACGAACGAACTGTAATGGATTCAGTTACAAGTCACTGTTACCTGTAGGGGACAAACCACCTCCCCAGACCCACATGCAAAGTTCCGTACCTGGAACACCTGGCTCGCCTTTTTCTCCTTTTGCTCCTAGCTGTTTCAGATCAACTTTTCCAGGTGGACCTGGCAGGCCTGCTTCACCTTTGATGCCTTTCTGTCCTACCGGTCCAGGAGGCCCTGGCGGACCGGGTAATCCATTATTACCTACAGTAGGTACAGACAACAAAAGAGAAAAAAACATAATCCTTAAGGCAGGCTAATATACTTGTAAAGCTTTTTCTTACATAGGGAGTCCATGATTTATTCACAAAGTTGGAATTCACTAAACGATCAGCCAGTTTATGCAAGGTTCTCCACAGCATCTTAAAGCCCTGGAACAAAGCCGAGGGAGCGGACTGCATGGGGATGTCTGCGTGCCGCAGTCCGTCAGCTCCGGCCAGCCCAGCTCAGAGGAAGCAGCCGTCTGTACGACCCACAGCGAGAGCGCTCCCAGAGCCCCACCACACAGTGCCACTACCACAGAGGAGCTGCAACAGCTACAGCAGCTTTGGATTCACAGCCTCCTTGTTCTAGGGAGATGAGTGGGTTTTGCTTCTACCAAACTCTTTCAAAATTCATCCCCAACAAGGGGGTTGGGGAAATGGATAGAATAGTTTCTCTGTGATACCTATAGAGCTGATTCGGGATGACTCCATAACCCAAAGCTACTGATTTTCTTCTTTCTACTCCTTAAAGCAGATTTTACAACATACTTCAGAAATACTGCCCTACTTCAGTGCCATCAATCCAAAGGTATAATTTTAAAAATAACTGACATTTCATGACATCAATTAAAAAAAGAGTGACTGAATGCTATGGCTTAAAACTGCAAAGCAATTCTGAGCATCAGCACTGTCAAAAGAAGATAATCTAAGCAGATCCCGGTAATGAAGATCTGGATGTTAGTATTACAAAGTCTCTTTCCACACAGGACATGGAGAACAGCATTCTGCATTCTCTGCAGGGGCAGATAAAACAAACATTACCTTTCAAGCCAGGCAGGCCATTTCTTCCAGGAGTTCCTGGAGGCCCTGGAGGACCAGGAGCTCCCATGACGCCCATCTCACCTTTGGCACCTAAATGCATTGAATCACCATTGTCATTCTGAACAAAACCTCAAAACCTATCGTTACCTAATTTTTACTTTCCTGCATCTCTATGGTATTTATTAACCAGCACATGCATATAAAGCCTGCTTTAAGGGAATTACAGGCACTCAGTTCTTGTATAGATCTAAATCAGATAAAAATGACACTTGAAAATTGCGCCAAATTTTCCACAGTTAAGTCCTGGGAAGAAAATTTGCAGTGCACTGTTCTTTTTGGCAGAAAGCATATCTATACCTCCAATAAGTTTAGTTCCCTGGTTTGAAACATAAATACCTGTTTGAAAGCAAACTTGAATTTATTGAAAGCCAAAAAGACAATCAGGAATACAAAAGATTCTAAAAGTAGTGTATCGTCCCCTCTATCCAAAGACAGAGATTCTCAAAATTCACTTTTGAGACTTCTATTCTAGAGGGTGAAACAGATTGTCTTAACTGAATAGTCTAACACATAGAATAAGGAAATTAATATTTAAAACTATGTGTTGGATCCAATTGGTAGCATTTGTAACTATTTCCTTTAAACAAATTCTACTTCTAAATTGCAGCAGTGACTAGGAAAAAAAAATCACAAAATAAATCAGAAAAGTGTCATAATGATGATGATCAAAGTCACATTTGGAAGTTATGGAACAGAAAAATGTGGAAAATATTTGAGTCAAGTTACAGGGAAGAGTGGAGAGGTGACAAGGATTTTAATGCAACAAATTTTGTTATAATTTTTTTAAAGAAGTATGAGAGGTAATGGTTACCTGTACCCAACTTTAAATGGATAGGATAAACATTGAAGCTCATTAAGCTGGCATGCCTGAGCATAAAGAGCATCCAGCTGTAACTACAGTTTGGTCTTTGTCCACAGGTAAAAAATATGAACTTACCTGGAAATCCAGGTATTCCATCCCGGCCAGGTGGTCCAGGTGAACCCTGAGGCCCTGGGAGACCAGGGGGTCCTGGATATCCTGGGGTTCCTCGGTCACCGGGAGGACCAGGAACATCGAAGCCTGGAGGACCTGGATCCCCTTTCTCCCCTGGAATGCCCTGCAACCCTAGACAATGTTGTTAAGAGACAATCTTTTAGCAAAAAGTAAGGCAAGGCTGAGATCTGTGTGTCTCTGGGCATAATACTGTAGGAATAGCTCAGTTTTATCTGCAGTCCATTCCTAGCACTGATGAAAACCCTGCAATTCTCCTAAAGCCATTTATTTTTTAATGGCTTCCAGGTGTTAAAAGGCCATATTCTCCTGAAGAGAAGCATTATTAAAATTTTACCAAGTTGTAGCAAATGCAATTAAAAAAAAAAACAAAACCAACCTCAAAACAACTCTCTTCAACAACCCTTTAAGTCTGACTAATAAAAACAAAAAGCCAAGATTGATTAGACTGGTTTGTATTTTATCGTTCATCATTGAGATTCTTACAAGTATATTTCCATTAATGATTCCATTTTACTACATTCTAAGATAACATCAGCTGAATATTTTCGAAGGATAGCAAAATTCTGCATTGCATTACATTTCCCTGAATGAAAAATATCAATTGTCAAAATACGCTTAAGATTGTTTAACGCTAATGATACTGAGCTTGAGGCACTGCTGAAGCAAGCAGACAGCTTGGTTCCCTCCAGTGCACTGTACCAGTGAAGGTGCTCATTCTGGAAATGTAGCTGACAAAAAAGGATTATTCTTAAATCTGAGGTTAAGAAAAGGCTTTGGTAAAGAAACCACAGTACCTGGGGAACCTGAGGTTCAAAAGCCAACGAGTTAGAGCTCATCAGGAAGTTGAGACAGGTAGTAGTAAGGAGTTGTAACAGTCGTTAAGTTAGGAAACAAAATAAAGCACATACAGATTAGAACAAAGAAAAAATCTACCCTAAAGTTACTGAAAACAGATCTAAACAAAGAATACAACACTAATGCAGTTAAGAGAAACCAGACTGCAAGGAAACTTGGAGGTCTTTTTCAAAGTGCAGCCACCACTGTATATAGAAAAAAGAAACTCTGAGATATTTTCAAATAAGGATGGTACAGTTTAAAAATAAAATTATCTTTCCCTCTCTCCTTGTCTAGTATTCTCTTTGCAACTGAAGAACAAGCTTCTTCTGAACCGTTTCTTACACAAAACTGTCATTACTAGATACTGTCTGGGACACCTTCTGAACACCAGAGTACATCCTACCAATCAACTTCTTGTTGATCTGCATCACATTCTGGTAAATGCCTTCAAACAGGGATTTTCAAAAGATGCTGCTGCTTTATAACAAAAAAACCCTCTGAATATTTTTTTTTCCCCATTCTTCTAGTTCTGTTATGCAAATTTACATTTTTACACCTACAGAGATAGTATACTGCATGTTACATGCTCTAGCATAGTCTACTGAGATTATGACGACACCATGCCAAAACCTCATAATTAACGACAGGGCGATATCACTCTGTAACTCTGTAATGGCAACCCCTGCTCTTGACTGCAGGAACAAGTTTAGGGGTGATGTCATGATGTGTTCTTTGCACACTAAAAAAGCAGATCCAAGTTTTCTTGACTGCAGAGGCTGTAGACTTCTGTTTATTTAATGATAAGCATGCTCCTCTGGAAGCAGCTTATCACTACATTAAACTATGGTGTCATGTGCCTGGAACTGCTTACTTGCAGAGAAAAAACAGTACTAGAGAATGGATAGGGACTGCACATCCTCTGTGTTTAAGGGGTCTCTATCAGCAAATGGAAAAAAAAAAAAAAAAAAAAAAAGAAAATAATATATAACACAGTAATAGGACAAACTCCATACCTAGAATGGTAAAGATACTTTTTCCAATAGAAATTCATTCTAATTGAATTTCTGGTTCTCAAAAATGTAACCGCATTGTAATTAGAACAATATAGACAACACAATAACTTCTAAAGTAATTTGTTACATATTCAAAAAAAGAAGAATGTTGAGTAACTGCAAACTATTTGAAGAAATGGTGGTGCAGAGAAAGGAAATTCTGAACAGGGAAATCCTTTCAAGAATTTTCCAAATTACCTGAAAAACAGAGCCCCAGAAACTGTACCCTAAACGTTGCATAAAGGAACAGAATCAAAACAGCCTAGTAAAACAAACAAGAGATGGGAGATGGGAACATAAGGCATTCTGCACAAAACAGAGAAATAGCAGTGCCAAGGGAAGTAACAAGGACTGCTCAAGTGGGATCTGCAACCATGCACTAAATTTCAGAGCCACCATGCTGTTAGTAGCCACAATGATTAGTCAGTACAGACACGAAGAGTAAAGATACAAGCATTTCAAATCCACCAACTCTAGTGGTAACTCTGCATTTGTCAAAACTGGTATTTTGCAGAATAAATCGGTGATCACATGAAATCAAATTCTGGCTAACACCAGAAGAGATGTTACAGGAAGACAAAAGAACATGCACTGGATGAAACACTCAAACCCATACTAATACATCCCCGCCATCCCAAATACAAACCTGTGTTGCCTTCTCTTTCAGTTCAGCCTCAAGTGCAACCACAGGTTCGGGACGGTATAGCAAGCACAGTAAGCCAGGCAGGGGACCCACCTGCTGGCTCAGGGAACTTCTGTGCACACTGTCCAGACCCCTTCTGTCCCTAGCTCTTGATATTGGACACATTCAAGGCTGGCTGGTGCAGCAACCACACATTCCTTTCCCCGCTGGGAAACTTGTGGAAAAATATACTTAAACATGACCCATACTTTACGTATGTGAGTAGAACTCAAACTCCATGGGCCTACTTCCTCAAGTGCTTGCCTGCCTTCAAGTTAAGCACTTTGCTGAATCTCAGCTCACAGTTCATACAGATCTGAATATGATCAACCAATCTGTGACCCATGGTCTTACAGCTGGCCATGAATTTTTCATCATGCATTGCAAACAATGCCGATCCCAGTACTGGCATACAAACAAATTAAAAAAGTGTAGCTCACAAACATGCAACGTGAACAGTCACACAGGCGTGGCAAGAACCAGATGGGGTTTGAAATGTTTCAGCAGCAGGCATGCTCTCACTGTGGTGACTACTACACATTTGCAACATCAGGATTTGGTGCACAGCAAGTTCATTCACTGAATGAAGGGGAAAAGAAATTTCCCTAAACAAACTTTGTGAATAGAATGATGTCCACGCATGCACATGTACCCTTTGTGCACAGAGATGGAGTAAGTCCACATCTTCATCAGTCACCAATCGTTTTAGGCAAAAGACAATTAAACTCCCTTCAGAGATGTATTCCTAATTATCATTATCCTTAGATTCTACTTTGTCAATCTACTTTAAACGTATTAGGACTCATAAAACTTGTTGGTTTTGCAGCAAAAAAGTGAGGGAATCAGGAACCCCAGGAATCAGAGCTTTCTGTAAGAGGAATTCTAAAGCTCTTTTCCAGGTGTGCTTATGACAAGATGAATGAGTATGACCTCTTTTACCGACCGGCTTTTGTTAAAACAGTATCATGTCACTATTTGGAGAACATTTTCTCCTCTACAAAATAACAAACCAGCTAGTTTGGAATACTCATGTTTTCTTCCTTTCCGCATTAACTGAGTTAAATTGTGTTTCAGCTTCCATTTGGAAAAACAAAAAGTGCTTAGCCACGTCAGGAAGAAGCTGAATTACTCCCTTGATTTTGCACTCACCATGTAAGTAGACGGAGGACAAATAGCATTGCATAGGAGATTGAGTTTGTCTGCTTTTTTCCAAACCAGAAATTAATTTTCTAAATAATAATGTAAAAAAGTTATTTAAAAATACCTCTCACCCAGTGAATTTGGAATACAGTTTGGTAAGCCAGAAAACTGCTTTGGAATTTAAGAACCATCTTGCTATTTGAAAGCAATGTAATGACAGCACAGTTCAGACAGCTAAAGGCAGCTTTCCTCCCATTCTGTATCCCCAAAACCTCTGCGCTGACATTGTGCTCCCTTCTGTCTTGTCCTGAAGAGTACTGCGATAAACCCCTCCACAGAGATTTTGTCACTATCTGTGCACAACACTTTCTAGAATTTCTGCTGAGACTGCAAGTCTTCTCCAAAGTGGGCTTTTATACCCTTGAGACCACTCTAGGTTGTGCAAATGGCAGAGCTGAATATAATTCCACTTCTGATTTCAGTAAAAAACACGATGTACCAAGTTTTGCACACTTGACTGGCAAGACAGCCAAGCTAATAAACATGAAATCTCTATCTTTTCTTGCCTATCTGTTCAGTGCGACCTTCAGCGTCCAGTGTACCTGTACCTGCTTGGTGTGTCCCAGAAATAACCTAAGGGTACAATTCATGCGAGTTTTACCTGGGGGCCCAACAGGACCCGGAGGTCCTGGAGGTCCAGGTGGACCTTGACCACCAATGCCAGGGATGCCTGGTGGGCCTGGGAGTCCTGGTGGTCCACTTGGTCCAGGGTCACCTAAAAGAACACTCTTGTTTAGTTAAGCAGTGAACTCAGTTCAGAGATACTTGCTTTCAGAAGCAGAGTGCCTGCACATTGTACTTGAAATTTCATCCTTACATGCAAACAAATATGGATCTGACACAGGAAAAAAAAAACCACTTCAGAGGCTATTTCTGAAAGCCAGAGATTTGTCCTCGCTCTGTGTGGAATGCATGCAGTTTACATTTCTAGGCTACACAGAGACATGTTATTGCATTGTAATCCACATCAAATTCAACAGATGCTATCCCAGCAAACCAGGCATGCTCTGCAGTTCAGTACAGCAATGACTAACAGTAGGAATTTGTGAATTGCTAACCCTCTGCATGTTGAAGCACAGTGCTTTTAAATGACAATTATTCTGTTGAAAAAGCTTTACCCCCATGTTAACACAATTTGTCTTTAGAATACAGACTTTCAGATACTGACCCACAGATTGGTAGTTACTGCCTTGCTTGCTTGTCTTTTGAGAACACAAGTGTCCATTTACACAGGTGTCTCTGCTTTGGAAAAATGGACCCTGAAGTAATCACTCTAAAGTCAGCACTGCTTGTATTTAACTGCCATATGACTCCCAGCACATCTACATTTTTTAAAGTTCAATAGGCAACAGAAAAGGGGAGAGTTCTCCATACCTTTGGGCCCTGGAGTTCCATCAAAACCTGCCCGTCCTGGGAGACCTGGGCTTCCTGGAAAGCCAGGATCACCTTTAGGTCCTTGAACTCCTTTTGTGCCTGGCGGTCCTGGGGCTCCAGGTGGTCCTGGAACTCCAAATCCACGATCCCCCTGTAACAAATTAACATATTTTTTAAAAGGAGGTTTTCTAAGTTTTGCCTCTCCTAAAAATGTTAAAGTAGAAAAGAAAAAATGCCCACCATCTCAGAGTTCAATTTCTTTTTTTCCCCACCCTCACTCAAACCTCAAGTAGAGAATGCAACTTCCCCGCCATCAAAAGCTGACAACAAGAGGTGAAATCCTCCTCACCAACTTCCCACTGACACAGAACAACCTCTAAGAAAGTGAAATTTTATATTAAACAAGCAAACACAGACCTTCTGTCCTGGGAAACCAGGTGGTCCAGGAGGTCCATCTAGACCAGGGCGACCTGGAGCTCCCGGAGCTCCGGGGGGGCCTGGAGTTCCTGGGAAACCTACACATAACATGGAGGTTAGGGCAACAGAGGAGAGGACACCAGAGAGCATTAGAACAACTCTTCCAGAAATGCTCAGGGCCCATGAAAAGTAATCTCTGAAAAGGGGTTCTGTGCTAGCTCAAGCATACTTGAGGGGTACCCGTTTGGCTGAGAGAACTTTTGAGTGTATTGTCTTTGCCACAGAGAATCTCTGGGACTCCTCTCAGAGGAGGGAATTCCCCATGTGGTGTGCTCTAACAAAAATTACAAACAGTTCCCATCAGAAACTTTAACATCTTGAGGCAGCGTTTGGAGATCATTTACTGGTTCAAACTCAAACATTCATAATTTCCCAAAGTTTTACCCATTTGCTTTTGTGTCCTTGGTTTACTGAAAAACATAAGCTACCATGAATGAGCAGTACAGTGAACAGAGGAATAAAAGCTCAGCAGGTTTTTTTCCTGATACTTGTGAAACTATTATAAAGATGTATAAATTCAAGACGAACATTTTTTTATTAGGATTCTAGAGACAGGAATCCACTCACTAGGAAGAAGTGAAGAGACACAACCCTCTACGTCCCCTCTTCCAGCCAGTACAATAGAGTACCATGGCTGTAAACATACCTTTTGGGCCTGGTGGACCTGGAAGTCCAATGCCAGGAATACCTGGCTCTCCCTTTGCACCTGGGAGGCCTGATAAGCCACGCTGACCTGGCTGACCAGGATCTCCTGTAAAAAGAAAATCGATGTAGTTATCAAGAATCACTCAGAATAAAAAGCTCTTGGAATTCCCTGGATTTCTAGTTGCTGCTTTACCTGGAAGACCTGGGTCACCATTTCTTCCTGGAGGACCAGGGGGGCCAGGAACTCCTGGTTCTGTAATAGTCTGGCCAGGGTCACCTTTTGGACCTAAACCCAAAAAGAATAAATACGTATCACTCAGTAGGAGTTTCTTTTCTCTTTTCCTTTGAGCAGAAAAAGATGCTAGCCACATTCCAAGCTTACAAAGAATTTAAACACTAGCAACACTTTACCCAATGTCTATCTGCCCCTGAGCCCCATACAGCACTTATAGGCTTAGAAGCATTGTTTAATGTTAAGACAGTTTTCTTGAAATGTTATTTTTTTAGCTTCCTCCTAGGTACCATCATGTGAATAGTATTTTCCATAGCTGACACCAGCACAACTTGATCAGGATCTGTGTAGTTGACAAGAAAGTAACAAAAGCAAACTTGTTCAAAGCAAACCCTTGTTTTCAAAAACTGTTGTAGTTGCAGTATTATTAAGCATAAGCCAGATGGTAGTTACAATGCATTTCCACTATAGTCAGTTGAGGAGAAGCTTCTCTAGAGGACAGAGCAGAAGGGCGAGTCATGTGCCGATAGTAACATAGCACAAATTCTGCTTGCTTTGCAATTCTGGGATGACCTTCAGTAAAGCAGCTTATAAATATTAGGTCTTACAATGCCTTTGGGAAAAGCTTAAAAGCAGCATTATGTTCCGAGAACTATCCGGAGCAAAAGGACAAAACTCGATTTTACAGCTTTTGTTCAATAGCACACAGAGACCAACTCACCAGGAACTCCAGGAGGCCCTGGACGGCCTGATACACCTTGGATGCCCTTTTCACCAGGTGAACCTTGTGGACCAAAACCAGGAGGTCCAGGAAGTCCTTTGTCTCCAGGAAGACCTGGTATTCCTGGATCACCTGGAATACCCATTTCTCCTTTGAATGCAACACTGCCCTGAAAAAAGGAAGAGTGGGATGGGAAAGAGGAGCATATATTTACTAGCAAAGGAGTAAAGTGTTTCATTGCTTTTGTTTTGAACTCTGGCAGTTTCCATCCTTCTAGCTCTTAAGGCCATTAGCTGCCTACATCTTACTAACATAGTAGAGATAAGGTCTAAACCTGGCTACTTAATTCTTCACACTACATAGGGGAAATGTAGACAATAGCAGAAGGGACCATCTGACACTACTCAAGAAAAGTCTCAGCTTATTTTTAGAGACATTGACAGATTCAGGGAGTACCTCTGTATATCATCACTAGACTGGCATCTACTGAAGAGAATTACTGCATTAGTCACATTCAGAAAAAACTGCATTTGCCAGTCGTCTTATCTGCTCTATGTCAAATGCAACCAGGACTTCCCAAAACATCTGTCCAATCAAAGAGAGCATAAAATGGAACTCACAGGTTCCCCCTTAGGGCCAGGCAGACCTGGCAGTCCATCTCGTCCAGGAGTGCCATCTATGCCAGGAAGACCCGGAGGTCCTGGGAAGCCCGGGTCTCCTTTGTCACCTTTCATTCTTGGAGAAGTCAGGACATCCCCTGGGTCTCCTTTAGGACCAGGTCTCCCAGGAGGACCTGGGGACCCTGGGAATCCCTGAGGGGGAAGAAGAAAAAAAGAAAAAAAAAAAAAAGCATTTTAGTTTTTCTTTCACTCCCTCCTGAGTTTGGCACCATATAAGAATTATGCATTCAAGCTAGCTATGGACAAAAAAAAGAAGTATTAGACAAGAATTCACATCTACTGTGCCCAGATCTACCAAACACACAAGACAAATGAGACACTGTTTTCCCAGCAGAACATAACACCACCACTTACTGGTGGCCCCACAAGGCCAGTTAATCCAGGAAGCCCCTTTTCACCTTTTGGTCCAGGAAAACCAGGAGAACCTGAGTAGTGCAGAAAAACATAAAAGAAAAACATAAAACTGTAGAAGCTGTAAATATCAAGCAAGCCATTTGCATAAGATAATCACAGAATCACAGAATGGCTGGGG